TCACATTTTCGTGACTATTCACGATTCCACAGGATGAAGAGCAGCCTGAGGAGGCACCTATCGCCACCGCTCCATCAAAGAAACCACAGCTGGTAACCGTTGTGGACACTACAATACCTAAAGAGGTGCTGGAAAATGTGAGTTCCTTACATAGGTTTTCAAAAAATCACTGGTATAGTATATTGCTGTCTGAGCTTTTAGGCAAGTACGATATATCTTGGCATGGATGTCGCCGTTGCCATATTATACGTCTCTGTTATCACCATTGGATGTCGATGGATTGTTCTTTCAGACATAGTCAGGTGGGCTATATGCTCGTTTCGATTCAATTTCCACCAACTTGTTGTAAATTAGTGAACTTTCTTTCTGTCCTTTTTTCGGCTATGTCCATTTGGTCGACCAGAACCCTCACAAATCGCGCGGCGCACCATCTTGTCTCTTTAGCCCACATTTGTTTCAATTCCACTGCTTGTTCCTGCAAGGCAGGACAGCTATCTCAAATTTCTCAAAAAAAATCTGCCCTTCTGTCACTGGCTGCTTTCCATGATGTAAAGAAATATGGCAAACTTTATGGCAAAGGACAAATCTCGAGTTTTAGTTTTACGAAATGAGGTATATTTTAGATGGATTAGAGAGGATAGAATGGGTATAACGTTGTTCCAAAGGATGCTTCTTGAGTGCGGAGGTGCAGAGGGAATGAAACAGTCGAAGTGTGGCTCTTTTGCGAACATGGTAAGCCTTTTCTGACAGTTCTTGTACACTTACAATTCCACTTAGGATCTTCCCCTGTACGAGTTTCAACGCACAGCATTGTTTGTATGGCAAATCTGCAGTTTACCGCAAACCCCCGCTAAAATTGACTTCAAGCAGGTAAAAATGTAACTTTCGTTGTTGAGCCCATCCCGCACGAAGGCGATTTACTTAGATTTTGACTTGTACATAACTACAAGCTGCGATTACTTTATTACTTTAATATGTTCGTACTTATAGATCATAGCACGATGTCTTTATCATTTGAACCTCCCTGAAGCGATGTTCGAACGTGTGATGATATTGATGAAGCTCGCACCTCCATGCAAAATCCTAGATGAGGAGAGTTTGAGAAGGCAAGGACGAATTGAGCAGGTATGTCATTAGCTTGATGTATCCGATGCGCTGGGTTTACACTACCGATGCTTATCAAGACATGACAAGTATTGCATATGCAATGCAGAATCCATTCCTTCTGTGTTTCTTTTTTAAACAAGTCCAAGTATGACACGTGCATTTGCATTTTTTTTGCAGTCGCTCTGTTGCATGCCTATTTGTCACAATGTACAAACTTCCTGAATCCAGGGTCCCTATGCGAATGGTTTCAACGTACCTGGAACAAGAAAATTCGGTGCTCTACAAATGTTATTTGCCTTTGGCCGCCAAATTCGCCATCGAAGTACTACGTGCTCTGAGTGAGTGAGTGTGTATTAGTAAATGAGATCTAAAACATTCTCCTCGTAAGCGCGTGATGAATGCTTGACCCTGATAATGGTCCTTTAGTATATTCTTTTCTGCGGAGACGAAAGTTTTTGCTTTGATTTTGATGGCTCTGAAGCTGTCGTTCGGTTTAGATGACAACAGAGAATCAGCCTTACCCAAGCAGGAGGTAAGCAACTTGAGCATGTTCCTTGCAAAACTTATCGGGATTATACATGGTTCTACTAAATGGATGTATTGTTTTTTTAGGAACGGACAAACTCTTTCAATTTTATGGAATGGTTCTACCAGCTTAAGATGAGAATGATGTTCTGGGAAGGATATGATCCGCTTGATGTGCTTCAGACTTGGTTGGTAGCATATGTGTTTAATAGAAGTGCTCATTGTCAATTTGCTTACAGTTGCGCTTACGACAATATATTTAAAGTAGACATTTGTATTATAAGTTTTTAGGAAACCTGTGCAGCCACTTTACTATGAGAACGAGTTTCCACGCGGAGAGAATGTCCATTTGTAAGTGAAGCATATGCTCGTTCAGATTTGCACAAAGTATTTGGTCGAGGCATTGCAATTTGTACAAATAGCTTTACAGCTATGTTCATGCTAACCAGAATGGCAAACCGGCATACTGCATTCGACATTACCCTCGTGACGGCGGATTCACCAACTGCATTCCGCGCACAATGCGGATAGACAGCGTATGTATAATTTTGATTTTTTCTCAGTTTTTATTGCTAGTTCAACCTTCCAGCAATGGTTAAATAGTGGCTATAAGAAATACTTCATGGCTGTGCGATGGCAGATAAGCAGTTTCCTAACATTTTTACCCTCACATTCCATGAAATCGCGCACATCTTTCTGTTTTCTTGTAATTCGCTAAAAAAAGATTCTGATAGAAATGTCTTCATATCAAAGGCATACCCTTTCAGAGCACTTCCTTACCAAATCCGTTCCCAGAGCATACCCATGACGCACTTTCTAATCGAAGTGATGAAAATGCCCTATACGGTACGTGTTGCATAGATAAAATAGAACTGCTAGTGTCATATTTTTTCAGCTCCTTTGCAAAGTCAAACTAACGTTCTGCGCGAATTTTTGAGTAGACGAAGGACCGAAAATGAAAGGCAGCGTATTAGAGTTATCGTTGATGAGGAAGCTGTCAAAGTGTTCAAAGCCAGCTATGAGGTGAGCATTCGTCACCATCAAACTGGAAGCGAGCTATTTTCGAATTTACAGAATTGCGAACTCGCAAAGGGAGCATCGGAGGGTGCCAGCGAAGGAGGTTTCTCATCCAAGTGGTTTTCGGAATTTCCTTGCTCCAATGAATATAAGGTTTGTGTGTCACTTTTCTATAGTCGTTAACCCTAATGATTTATTCTACAGCGCTTACCTCGCCCAAACTGGACAAATGGTGGTATCATCCATTTGAAAGAGAATGACGATCGCTTGAGAAGGCTCAACAAAAGGATGGGGCTGGTAAGTGTTAATCAGTTAATGTCGCGATGACTAGGGGAGTATGGTTTGTAAAAGAGTTCGTAACTGAATATTCTACCATCTTGGCAGTGGTGCGCTTATTTTTTCCGTTGTCTTTATCAGTTGTTTTCAGCATACAAAGAACTCTGGGCTACGCATGATCTTTGCATCTCGGAAAGCTGCGACAGATGCGTGGCGACTAGCGCAAACTGAGATGAGCCAAACCTTCCTCGCTTTGATCGAATGGTTCTCCAAAATCATAGGTACATTTACATAGGTTGGTATTTTTGATATACTTTTCCAACGAAAGACCTTACAGGTGAATCGCAAGCGATTCTTTACGCGGCTTTCCTAATGGTTGAAACGCAAGTCATTGATGGAGAAAAGTGTGTCTGTTGATCGACATCTTCATTTGTTTCTGAGAGTCTATGCTTACAGGTTTGAAAAGCTCAAGGAATGTATGGTAGATGGTAGAATTCATCCTATCGAGACTTCAACGCTGCATGTAGGTTACTCTGTACATTAAGCTTCTTTTTTATGAACTGGTGTCCATCTAGAAAGACGGTCATCGCTCCTTCAAGACTCACTACATATCAGCTGCTGAAGATGTATCTGAGGCTCATGAAGTTGACATGGTTCGGATAGGGTTGCCAAGAAATTGGGGTGAGTGGCCGTTCTATATCTTTTGAGTCTTTTTTTATAATCGCGGTTTATACGAATTGTAGCCTCTGGCATTAACGAAGCGAATCCGGAAGATTGCGAGGATTTGGAGCTTGCTAGTGATAGCACCATTTCTGATGAGTACAGCTCAGAGAGCGATGACTTGTTCACTGAAGAAAGCGATGATGAAAGGAGAAGTCGAGATCGAACACTTGGATCTAACCGCGCTGGTTCGTATTTTCGGGGGCTGGCTGTTTTTTTCCCGTTTATGGTATTCCTTCGTCTAAATCAAAATACTGGGAACTGTCGGGGGTTTTCTTTTTGCCCTTCTTCTCGATGAAAGTTTGATTTATGCCTCTACAGCATTGCTTATAGATATGGAAACAAGCTTCTCCTCTGCGTTAGAACCATCCGAGCTGCCACCTTCAAAGAGAGAACCTTTAGATGCTCAAAGTGACGTAAGTGTAACTTTCTTCAGTTTGTGGAGTTTTAGCCCGTACCAGGTCTTTACCATTCTTGTTTCTAGGTTTTGAATTACGACTTTGACACGATTTGGAGGTTGGTGGCAATGCGGTATTGGTAACATAGTGCTGAGGCATTCACCTGTATAATTTGTACTTGTTGATTTT